CCCCCCCCCCCCCCCCTCCTGGAATAATTCTAATTTTTCTTTCTCCCTTTGTTTTTATATATTTATTAAGTTTATCAGTTTATTAACTAATGTACATATATTTGGACAAGTGTATCTTTGTTTGAGGGAAAGTGTACGTTTCCATATCTTTTTATAAAAGATTTATCTTCCCTATTCATAATAAATATTCTTTCATGTTTTATTTTACTGCTGACGCACTTAATTTTATATCAGTATGTGATGGAAATGTCTAGATTTGAAAATGTAGCTTTTTATATCAATTTTAATGGACACCAACCCCGACCATGGACATGAAAACGTTTAATTCTTTTTTTAATTATTATTTTTAAAAAGGGTCCTTATAATTTTCTTGAGGTTTTTTTGGGAAACTAAATTAATACTAAACGAAGAAGTACAAATGTATTGAACACCTGATTTTTCTAAGATATTCTTATCTATTTGAATATTAATAATGTAAACAACACTAAATGCACGTACAGATGCAATAGCTTGTAAACCTTTACAGAGATAAATTATGCAGATATGTCACTATGCAGGTATAGTACATATAAAATATTGATAAAAGTACGTTTTTATCAAAATATCTCGAGAATTAATATTGTTATTATTAATTTTCATTCAATTATGGTCGGATATAATTTTGAGAGGAACAATACTTACATTATACATATACGCAGTAATGTTAACTCAAGAATTTTGAAATTATTTGTTCTCCAATTCTTCTTCAAAACTTCATATTTAACTGACATAAAAATTGTAAATAACGTCCAACATGAATTTAAGTTTAAATGTCAACTTAAGGGACAAGAAGACAGTTTACATTTTCATTTTTCCGTAAAAAAATATTTTCTAATGATCAAATTCATTACAAACTTTTCCTTTTGAATAATTAGGGATGTAGTTTTCAAAGGAATGCTAAAGTTTAGGTTTTAAAGGTTAAAAATAATAGTCTTCAATCATTCATAAATGCCATATCGATTGGCAACGTTAATTAGAATCTGAATAATTTAATAAAAGAGAAATAAATCAAGAATCTGAAGCATTCAATCCTTTGGAGTTAAAGTTGATACCTCAGAGACTGAGGTAGGATGCTATAATTGCTGGCGACAGATAAGGAAAAACCCATTTATAAAAATTAACGTACAGTCCTCGTCGTATAAATTAATACAATGAAGACGACTTTTGATTTAAATTTGTTATTTCTAATTTTCTATCAAGTTGTCAAACAGCATATAAAACACGGAAACAAAGAGAAGCTGTCAATTAACCACTTCTCTTTGTTTAATTTTAAAATCGTAATTTGTAAAAAGTCTGTTGGAACGTAAAACTTAAATGGTTAAATCGTCTTCATTGTATTGATATAAACGCAGACTACTGTATATCAATGAAGGAGAGATAAAAGAAAAAGAAATTTAAAGAATGAAGGGGAAAGGAATTTAAAGAGTAGAGAAAGGAAGGAATTTAAAGAATGAAGAAAGAAGGAATTTAAAGAGTAGAGAAATGAAGGAATTTAAAGAGTAGGGATAGGAAGGAATTTAAAGAATGAAGAAAGAAGGAATTCAAAGAGTAGATAAAGGAAGGAATTTAAAGAGTAGGGAGGAAGGAATTTAAAGAATGAAAAATGAAGGAATTTAAAGAATAGGGATAGGAAGGAATTTAAAGAATGAAGAAAGAAGGAATTCAAAGAGTAGATAAAGGAAGGAATTTAAAGAGTAGGGATAGGAAGGAATTTAAAGAATGAAAAATGAAGGAATTTAAAGAATAGGGATAGGAAGAAATTTAAAGAATGAAGAAAGAAGGAATTTAGAGAGTAGGGATAGGAAGGATTTTAAAGAATGAAGAAAGAAGGAATTTTAAGAGTAGGAATAGGAAGGAATATAAGAATGAAAAATGAAGGAATTTAAAGAGTAGGGATAGGAAGGAATTTAAAGAATGAAGAAAGAAGGCATTTAAAGAGTAGGGATAGGAAGGAATTTAAAGAATGAAGAAAGAAGGAATTTAAAGAGTAGAGATAGGAATAAATTTAAAGAAGGGAGAAGGAATAAATTTAAAGAATGCAGAAGGAAGGAATTTAAAGAATTGAGAAGGAAGGAATTTGAAAAATGACTGAGAAGATAATAAGGAGAAAGGAATTTTAAAAATGTAGAAGGAAGGAATTTAAAGAATGTAGAAGGAAGAAATTTAAAGAATATAGAAGGAAGGAATTGAAAGAATGAAGAAGTAAGGAAGGAAGGAATCGAAGAATAAAGACTACACTACAGGAAGGCCGGGATTTAAAGAATGTAGAAGGAAAAAATATAAAAGAATGTAGAAGGAAGGAATTGAAAGAATGTAGAAGGAATGAATAAAAGAATGAAGAAGTAAGGAATTGAAAGAATGTAGAAGGAATGAATAAAATAATGTAGAAGGAAGGAATTGAAAGAATGTAGAAGGATGAATAAAAAAGGAAGTAATTGAAAGAATATGTAGAAGGAATGAATAAAAGAATTGAGAAGGATGGGGTGCAAAGAATGTAGAAGGAAAGAGTTTAAAGAATGGTGAAGGAAGGAATTTAAAGAATGTAGAAGGAAGGAATTGAAAGAATGTAGAAGGAAGAAATTTAAAGAATGTAGAAGGAAGGAATTGAAAGAATGTAGAAGGAAGGAAGAAAGGAATCGAAGAATAAAGACTACAGGAAGGGATTTAAAGAATGTAGAGGGAAAAAATTTAAAAGAATGTAGAAGGAAGGAATTGAAAGAATGTAGAAGGAATGAATAAAATAATGAAGAAGGAATTAGGAATTGAAAGAATGCATCGATCAGGAATGAATAAAATAATGTAGAAGGAATTGGAATTGAAAGAATGTGATCGAATGAATAAAAGAAAGGAAGTAATTGAAAGAATGTAGAAGGAATGAATAAAAGAATGAAGAAGGAAAGGATTTAAAGAATGTAGGAGGTCGAATTATAAAGTATGGAGAAAGAAGAAATTGAATGGAGAATCAAAAGAATGTCGAGTAATTGAATTTTTTAGAAAAAAGGGAATCTAACGAATGGGGAAGGAGGAAATTTAAAACATGTAGGAAAGGAGAAAATTCAAAGAATATAGAAGGAAGGAATTGAAGATGGAAGTTATAATGGAAGGAGTAATATATGGATCGGTTTATTCTTGACATCTCGTATTCTCTCTCTTCTATCTAACTATCTCACTAGCTAACCACCGAGTTATTAGAAAGCTCTGCGTCTAGGGATCAGCTGATTTGTACAGAAAACTTCTTTACAGCATGTCTAGTCTATATCGTCCATACGTAAAGTATATGTTTCAGTCTGAATGACAGTTTTCGGCCATTTTTCGGCCGATCTAGCTCCGTGATATCACAGTTTTTTTGGTAATTCAGTGACATTTTTAAAGGCTATTATCTATAATTGCACAGAGAATCTACCATATGTTCGAATACAAAAGATATATTAATTACTTGTCAGGTCGTAGATTGGGTCTGTCCTAGTATACGATTTTTGGACCCCCTCCTATCAATTTTGTACATGGGTCTGACAAGAAGTGTCTTAACTTAACCTAACCCGTGGCCGCAGCGCTCGGCCCCCTAGCCTGTCCTAGCCGCAGCGCTCGGCCCAGAAAGTGTCTTAACTAACCTTTTGGTAAATATATTCAGTGATAATAGTGTTAGTTAATTCTAAGCTATTACAATAACTATTACAATAATAATTACTCTGTTTTTTGACTGTTGATAAAAATATAAAAAAAATGATCGTAGCAGAACCCTAATGTGGGATCCCCAGGACGCCATAGGACCTCAAGGCTTTTCTCTCAAAACCCGGCCAATCCGGCACCCTGGTCCCTGATGTAGGGTGTGAGAATCATTTTTTCTCATTATACTGAAATATTCTTGTTTGTGTATTTGTTGTAAAAAGTAGAGAAAAACATGCCTCCCCAATGCTCACAAATAATATTTCAACAGGGTCGTCACTGATAGGGAGGGGGTAGATCACACAACACCCCCCCCCCCCACTGTATGTTTAGAGGCGCTTTTATAAGTTTGTAATCAAACTTATTTCTTACTATAACATGGCATCTTCTTTTTCAATTGTGGACAGTTTTTCTTTTTAAACATTGTTAGGTATATTAAAAACAAAAAAAGTTTATTTTATAAAAAAAATCGTGGATTTTAAAAATTGAATGAAAATCAAATTTTGTTGCAGGCTAATTTTTGAAATTTTGATAGTTCATAAACCGATCGGTTTAGCCGTTTTAACGTTTATTGGATATAAACCTACAGACACCCAGACAAGCAAAGTTTATATACAGATGTTTGAAGAAAAAATACTAAATACTAACATATGGTTAAGATTTTATTTATTTTTGGTTAATTTCATATTCAACCTGTTCATTTAAGTAAACTATTTTGTTCAATATATAAAGATGGATGTTTTACGTACAGTGTACACTAGTTAAAATGTCGATTAAAAAGGGATATTTCAAGAAACAAACAATTTCAATGTAAATAGTCCAAACTGGCAAAAAAAGGTTTCACGCTCACAGGTAGAAAAACTTGGGTTTGGAAATTAATTTCGATATATTTTTCATATCCTCATCAGTCCTACAGAAAATGACCAAAATTATTACAAATTAAAAATAAAGAAAATGTAACAAATACTTTCTAGATATTTATAAAAAAAAAGTAAGCAAATTAGGGGAGGGGGTTTTTTGAAGTGGAATGGAAAAAAATGAAAAGTGTAAAAATTATGGTCAACCTTAAAGAATGGTGGTATTGTCAAAACTGAAAGAAATGTTCATTGAATTAAGGGTTGGGGGGTGGGTGGGGGGGGGGGGGAACAATTTCAACTAAAAAAACTTGTTTAAAGAAAAAAAAATTAATCAAAACAGGACTTACTTTTTTCCACAACACTTTTATCGTTAAAAATTGTATTTATGCTTTTTTTTCTATCCTTATTCTTCAGTTTGCTTCTTTATTTTTTATTATTGATATTTTAGAAAAATGAAGTTGAACTGGCTCAGATCTGTGATACCATTATTATTTTCATGTATAGCATGCGATTCTAAATCTTTATACAATTTATCCATTCAACAACTTAAAGACTTAGTTAAATCAAAAGACCTTCAAGTGATAAAAAATGTTCTAAAATATGAAGGAGCCTTTGCAGTGACAAATCTTTCTGCAGAATATTCAGAGGCTTTAAAAGATTTAAAATTAAATAGCCCTGATTGCTTACATTCACTCAGGGAAATTCTTGAAACACAAATTCAAATTTTTTTTAGTTGTCTTTACGTTTAACTATTTGCTACGCCTCTTTGGTTTTATTCTGGGACCAGGGGGACTGGGCTTTTTTGCTGAATAATGAGATGTTTTTGAACCGTTTAGACTAATAAGAACCATTGCTTATCAGCTTTACCCAGCTCACAAGAGAAGCAGGTCATCTTAGTCTTTGCGGTTCAACGGTTTAACTAATCATTAAATCTTGTCCCAACCTGGGATCGCTTTAAGATAAAAAGTTAATTCATTAATTGATTGATTTAGTGATTAAATTCTGAAATATTCTGTTGATGCTAAAATTTAAATTTTGCAATATCATGCTTCCCTTTTTATATCTCAAGAATACCCCCCAGATATCCTGAATTTGTCCTACCGGATGGTTCTATACGAACAACATTTGCAAGTGAAACAGAAGAGTATCCGCCATGTTTATCTAAAACCAGTTCTGTCATCAGTGCCGAGATGAACCGCGTGTATTCTGAGGTAGCTCAGCTGTTGGAGCACGTGGCTGGGGAAAACAGTTTGCTCTGGAGGCCAAATAAGGATTCCCAACCTAAACAATTCGCGGATCTTCCGAAAAAGGTGATGCATGAAACAACTCTCAAAGAAATAATCAATTAGTATGAAAAAAGAATTGTGAGGTAAAGTTAGATATTATCAAGAAAGATGAATAAAATAGAAAACGATATTCAAGTCCTCGCTAAAAGATTTTACAATCAAAACAAAAATGTCGTAGAAAATGATTTACAAAAATTAGGTTGCTCAAAAATTTCTCAAAATAAAATTGAATCTGAGTTGCTCAAAATTGAATACAAAATTTAGCAAATTGTATTGGAAAGAATATGTTTGAAAAGGGGACCAAATCACGAACAGACTAAACATTAAGCAAGTCTTCAGAGACGAGAATGATACAGATCAAGATAGAGAAAAAAATATTTAAAGTATTGAAATAAAAATGAAAATTAACTGTTCATTTTCTTCCAGGAACATATTCATGTATACCAGAGTAGTGAAGAAGAAGAAAAAGGGGGTAATTTTGCTGCTCCTTTTCATACAGATAGTGGTATTCTTCTCCTTCTAACCCCCTTCCAGGAGCATCCTTTGAAGGTAAACCATCCTTCCTGCACAGTGCACATTGTTGAAGTGCATGCTTTCAGAACTACTTTCAAACATTGAAAGATTTTATTGGGATATATATTTCTCTCATCCATAGGTGAATTTTTTTTAGAATTACATTTAATGAATTTTGATGCCCTGAGAAAAGATTAAAAATGGGCTTTCAAAAACAAGTTAATTTTAACTATTTGGATAACTTTTTCCCAAAAAATTCCACTAAAAACATTTATTTATTTTCCTTTTAGAACTATTAGAAAAGGAATCTGAAAAAGAGGTCCCGTTATGAACCCCCCTTTTACATCCTAAAAAGCCTTAAAGAATACATGCTAGACATCTTGGGGGGGGGGGGGGGGAACTTATTCTTAAAAGAGGGTGGGGATGTTCTTTCTAAGAAATATACGCCCCTGTTTGAATTTTAAATTGTTCATTTATAATATTTATTTTAAAAGAATATTTTTTTAATGCTTTATTTTGATGCCTAATTTAGATTAGAACTCTGGGCGGTCAAACCATCGATACTTCAGAAGTTGGAGATGATTCAATAATGATTTTGATCGCAAGGTATAAAAACAAATTTTGTAATTTTTGAAACGAACATTAATTTATTTTGATATAGTTGCAAATATATTTAATGAATTATTTCAATCTTGGATTATAATTATTACATATCTAGAGGATTACACGATCATAACTATTAAATATCTAGAAGATTCCAAGATCATAATTATTTAATATCTAGAAGATTACAGGATTATAATTATTTAATATCTAGAGGATTACAGGATTATAATTATTTAATATCTAGAGGATTACCGGATTATAATTATTTAATATCTAGAGGATTGGATTATAATTATTTAATATCTAGAGGATTACAGGATTATAATTATTAAATATCTAGAGGATTACCGGATTATAATTATTTAATATCTAGAGGATTGCCGGATTATAATTATTTAATATCTAGAGGATTACAGGATTATAATTATTAAATATCTAGAGGATTACAGAATTATAATTATTAAATATCTATAGGATTTCAGAATTGTAATTATTAATTATCTGTAGAGGATTACCGGATTATAATTATTAAGTATATAGAGGATTACCGGATTATAATTATTAAATATCCGTAGAGGATTACCGGATTCTAATTATTAAATATCTAGAGGATTACCGGATTATAATTATTAAATGTCTAGAGGATTACCGGATTTTAATTAATAAATATCTAGAGGATTGCCGGATTATAATTATTTAATATCTAGAGGATTACAGGATTATAATTATTAAATATCTAGAGGATTACAGGATTATAATTATTAAATATCTAGAGGATTACCGGATTATAATTATTTAATATCTAGAGGATTACAGGATTATAATTATTTAATATCTAGAGGATTACAGGATTATAATTATTAAATATCTAGAGGATTATAATTATTTAATATCTAGAGGATTACAGGATTATAATTATCAAATATCTAGAGGATTACCGGATTATAATTATTTAATATCTAGAGGATTACCGGATTATAATTATTTAATATCTAGAGGATTACCGGATTGGTTGCTACGAGGATCTAGAGAAAGTAAAGAGTTTATGCCTGCCCCCCATGCAGTGGAAACCCTACCCTCTAGTATCAAGTATAGGACCATATTCGCTAGAATGATGGTGAGAATTTATTTGTTTATTTTAGTTTTCAAATAATTTTATTTTTAAGATTCACAAAAATTCATGGAGTGAAATCTTCTAGTTTTTTTTCAGGAGCTCACACAAATTTAACTCTATACGTTTAATTATTGACAAATGTATTATTTTATCTATATGCTTATCTTATCTATCTACATAAATATTTAAATCAATATATCTATATAAATCTATCATATTCATATACACAGTGTTTCACATTATTAGGGCTCATCAGTATTGCTCAATTTATCAGTTTTTGATTTTGCAATTGACGAGGCTTGAACCGTGAATCCTTGGATTACGAGACAACCATGCTAACCATTGCAACATTATGAATTATAATCTATCATAAAAAGATATCTATTTAGCAATGCTTCTATATCTATCTATCTAGGTTGCACCTCTAGAAGCTGAACCAGCCGGTCCTCTCACTCAAAAAACTAAATTTGGAGATATTTTCTTCCAGAAAGGGAGTCATCAGGGTGACCTTTGTCCTTTGAATAACGAGTCTGGAGTCGAGATGAGGTCGGCCCCAGAGGTCGTTCGAGTTGAAAGATCCCAGCAGGGTCACGCTCATGTGTAAGTTATTTTTTGATCCTTGTATCTAGGGTCAAAGCTTTTGTATTTTAAATCTGCTCTCCCCTTGGGCAGTTTAATTTTTACAGCAGGCACAGTCAAAAGGTTATATAAACATAAGGATTTGCATCAAAATTTATATTAATCATCCAAGTTTTATGCCATTTTTATGATTTCACTCGGGTTTAATTTTAGTCACATTTTTTCTTAGCTTAGATCCATGGTGAAAATAAAGCCAGGGATTTTTGGGTGGACATCAACTTTTAAACTTTCAAATACCTGTTTAGGTATTTCAATATTCTACAATTTAACCAGAAAACGTTTATCTCAGCTATGAATTAGTATTCCACTTTTGAAACCACGAAAACAATGTTTTATTGTGGAAGGAGATGGCATCCCTTGCAGTATTTGGTTTTGAATATTTATATTTTTTTGAAGAATATTGTTTTTAGATCGAATGTTAAGTGGGATAAACTAAAATCGGAGGAATGTTCTGGAAACTCTAGTTATTGTTGGATGGGCTGCTATCCTCTACCTACATGCGACCTTTCCAGGGTACTTACTTCATAGTTTACAGTTAGTTAATCCTGTTCATTCACTCATTCATTCATTTACATTTTCTAATTCATCCTTTCATTCATTCATTCATTCATATCTTCACATCTACGCGAGTTTCAGGGTGAGGGGACTAAGAACAGCCCAAGGGATCTAGGGGACCTAGAACTTTTGTAAACATTTTACGGTCAGTTTTATGAGGGGGTGTCTATCACAAACACATTCTGTATACTTCATTTTAAAATCGTAGCACGTTTTTTTT